TGCACCCCACCCACCCTTTGTAAAATCCTGGATCCACCCCAACAGCTTTAAAGGAGAGGTCATCCCATAATGCTTATTACGCAGAATTCAACTTCCACCCAAGACTCCCCCCACCACCTTACAACTTCATTCAGAGTCCCCACCCCTTTCCCACACACTCTGCTGGTTAACCCACCACTCTAATTTTGGAAGGGAGGAAGGAAGTTGCTTTTTTTTTTTTTTAAGAAACAAAACTGCATTCAACCCATATTCAAGAAAACTCCCAAGAAGAGTTACCAGAAACTTTGACTTTATAAAATTTGAAAAGTCAAGCCTTAAAATGTTATTTGGCAGTATAAGAAAATGATAATTTGTCATAAACATTATTTTTCCTTGAAGTTGAATAGGATTAATTAAATTACGCTTTCCTTCCCTCTCCCCCTACCCCTCCAGGAAGTTCTACAACCCGATATTTAAACAGCACATTGTAATTAGAGTTGAGAAATTTTTTATAAAAATGTTTTTAATCACAAAACATTGATTTGTTTAATCTTTTCAAAGAAAGTGTTTCACTCAATTTTGTTAGGAAGGTTTCTTGGGTTCATAGTTAAGTTTTAGGTCAAAATGAGTGTGTGTGAATGAGCAAGGCAAGGTTCTTTGAGTAGATGCAATATTTTTTATTAGACAAACTGAGTGAGAATGACCAAGACAGACATCTCAGACTGGCAAAAGCTGACCAATTAAAACATTGTAAGATTCAAGTCAGAGACTTAAACCTGGGCTTCCCATATCAAAACTGAGTACCTGCACCACTCTTATCAACTCTTTGGGATGCTCCTTGTTTTTCCTAAAAGGCCTTTCTTTTGTTTAACACTAAGATTTTTCTATGAGAGCCTTCTTGTTTTCTGGCAAGCCCTAGTTTCAACTCAAACATTTATTTCAGGCTTTGCCTATTTTTCTTTTATTGCACATCTAGAAATGCATATGCACACCAAGTCCTAAAATAAATATGCACCAAAAAAAGAGAAAAAATAGTCTGTAGTACTTCAAATACTACTTTTTGAGAGGGGGGCAGTGTAAACTAAAAGTCTGATAAGTTGCTACTTTTGTATAAATATGACAATACGATTTTTATTTTTATACATATCATACAGGGATCTTTAAAACCATATACGAAAGTCTAAAAGGTTAAGACAACGTTTACTTCAAGACTTAAGTTTCCGCTGTTCTGTAAGCAGATCAAAAACATGCAATCAATTGCACTCAAGAGTTTTCTGTTAATTTCCTGTTCTCCAAGGCAAAAAAGGGCCCCTTTCATCTAGTTGGAAGGTCCTCCTTGCCTGTGACATGCCATAACTACTGAACTGAAGTGCCTATGCCCATCCACAATGAAGGGCACAAGAACTGGTCACTCTTGGGAGTCCACAGTATTTTTTCTAGTCATAACGTGGATCATTCAGGCATAGTACCAAACTGTCAAAGCTTTTACCCACCACTGGCCATAAAACTCCCTCAAGACAATTGCGAACACCCACTACCATGTACTAAACATGGCATTACTGCAGCATTTCTTATACTAATAGCTCCCAAGCTCTTTGTAGACTATGAATAGCATATAGAGAATTGGCTAGTCAGGTGGTGCTGTCCATTTGTTCCCATCTCCTGCTCTGCATTAGGCAACTAAAAGATACACAAAATAAGTATTTTCCTAATATGACATGTCCATGTAACCAACTGTTGTAGTTACCAAAGGACTATTATATTATCATCACAACAGGAAGAAAATGAAGTAGTCCCTGTAACAGAACTCTGATGCAGTTCAGGCAGCGAAAAACATGGGAATCAAAGACCTACACCTCATTCCAAAGGAAAGACAAAAATCAACATTCCAATTAATAAAGAACTACACAGCAGAAAAAAAATTCCAAGGAAATGCCAAAGTCTAATCAAACCTGAAGTCTTGAAATTATACGACCTCTATTAATTTGGATTGCTAGAGTTACAAGACAAGGACACAACCACTATTAGGCTTTGCATGACTTGAAGGCATATACAGGGACATCTAGGTAATAGCTGGTAAACGTTTAAATTACAGTACAGATGCTTCTACTTCTGACTAAAAACTAGAACATCTGACCAAATCAAGAAAGCAATCTCAGCACTTAGGTGAAATATATATTCCTTTTTCAGGTTTTTTCCCCTCAAGCTTTATATGTAATGCAGAAAAGCAAAACTAACACTCTTGGTTCAGAGATGATACCTTTTATTAGACCAACTAAGAAATTGCAAAAAAGTATCTTTCTTTGCAAGCTTTCAGGCACACTCTGAAACAAAAGTTTTACAGTTTTGTATTTCTTTTCGTCTCAGACCAACACGACTACCAAATACACCTCTGAAACATGGAAGACGCCAAATGTTAGCCAATTTTGGAATTACAAACTTCACTACTAAACAAGAAAGAAAAAATTCTACACCTCCCTGCCCTTCTGCCATCTGACACCAGCAGGGAAGAAAAACTGCTTTATCTGCACATCAAAGAACAATTTACAAAGAAACTCTCATGGACCCAGAGGAACAGACTTCTACGTTCAGCTTCCTCTGTGCAAAATGAAGTTTATTTTTTCTACCTAGGGAGACTTTTACCATCTTTAATTTTCCCTAAGCCTGAAGAAGGGTGCATGTGCCCAAAAGCTTGCAAAGAAAGAATTTTTTTGTGATTTGTTACTTTGTCTAATAAAAGGTATCATCTCTGAACCAAGAGTTTTAGAGTTTTGCATTTCTTCTAGTCTCAGATCAACACGGCTACCAAATACATCCCTGAAATATGTAATGTAGATGCACTTTATTCCTCAGACACTGAACTTTCTTATTATTGGAAGGAGTGTAACACCATTATTGGGTGAACCAAGTACCATTAACAGCAGAAATTTATGCATGGAAACATTCATAATTATTACTAAAACTATTTACTGGAAATTAGAAGGATTAATAAAAATTTTTTTTGGTCAAACCTCTTACAGAGTTGTACAAAACTGTTCCAGACATCTTACAAAGGATGTTAGATAGGCTCCAACTGTCTTTCAAACCTACACCAAGAATTTAGGAGTAAAAGTGATTACCAGCTTCTAAAGAAAAATGTATTTTCAGTCTTTTGTATCTACTAAATAGCACTAATTTATAACTACTTCATAATGTTTCTTTCCTTGAAGAAAGAAAACCAATTAATCCATATTCCACAACTGTGATAATATGCCAATGAAAAAGCTACTGAAGTGCTACATCCTGAAGCTCTCTCAACAAGACACTCCATCCAGATAGTTGTAGTTAGCATTAGAATTTCTACTATGAATAGCTATCAAATATTTTCCAAAAATACCCTCTTATTTTCCTTCACCCTCAATTAACCAAGGATATTTTTTGTTTTAAGGAAGCCAGCCTTTTAAAAAGGGTTTGAGAATGGTTAAAAAAAGACTTAAGAGTTAGCTTTACCCCTACACCAAAACCTCCTTCATTTTCCTGAGTCCAAGGTTATCTAACATCCAAAAATGGAAATGTGATTGTATTCATTATATAACTTAATAAAGCCATCCAATTTAATAGTTATATGGCTCAACAGGCTGAGGAGCAATAAAAATATCCTAAATTATCTCAATAAAAGATGCTCTTAGTATCAAGGATAGGAAAATAAATTATGTTGAATCGAGATGAGTTAACTTGGTGGCCACTGCTCTAAGTAGAACCATTTTTCCACCTTTATTTTGATTCATGAAGCCTTTATTACAAAGCAAGCCAGCTTCTTTGTAGATACTACAACAAAATTAATTGTAGAGTCTCTAGTTTTATGGAGAACAAAGTTTTTAGGAGAAGCTTGGTAGAACTCAGGAGGAATTCTAAACTATCTTTAGAGCAGGATGACAGAAGGTAATTTAGCCATTTCTGAGTTAATAGGATTAAAAGGAACAATCAAGAGAAAGTCATATGGTAAGTAGTACTAGTTTAGGAAGCCTATATGACAAGGAAAAAGTCAACATAGCCAGGGAAGAGAAGGCCTACTAACAGTCTAGCTCTTACTTAAGTGTAAGAATAAAAACAGAATGAAAATGCTGTTCTGCTAACAACTGACCACGCAGGGTCAGAAAGTATAAGCGTTAGGTTTCAGCAGATGATGCTCAGGAATGCAAAGTAAGGGAAGGAAATGTGGCTAGCACAAGAGGCACATCTAAAGGTGATTTAAGGCATGAAGATGGACAGCAAAAAAAAATATCTATCTTAGTACATGGGAGAAAATTAAAGTATGGATTGTAAGCAGAATTACATCAAGAACATTTTTACCTCAACATATGCACACTACTGAGTGGCTTCAAATTATGCCTACTTATTTTTACTTATCAGCTCCAAAAGAACAACAAGAAACAGAAGCTTTTTCAAAGTAATGAAAGATACCTAGACACCTATTCTGTCATCTCCTTCAAAACCGCCAATACATTTTTACATCAATTCATTAAGAAGCAGAAAGAACATTTTCAGACCCCTGAGTTTAGTGATGGTGGTTAGAAAATTGTAACTTCTATTAAAAACAAAATTGTCTATCATGGATTTTTTTATTATATCCATACTAAAAGCTAAACTCTGTATCAGTCTGATGCTGAAACAGAAGATTCTAACAGCATAGAAAACATTCAAACAAAGGTGGCTGGTAGAAAGAGAAAGAAAATAGTAGTACTCATATGACCTAAATTTAGTCTGTTAAAAACAACCCTGACCTCCAAATGTTACCAAATAACTTCAGCTACATTAATCCAATATATTAACATTCAAAATCTGTGTATGCGTCAAGTATCAGAAATTGGGTGATAGATTACGTTTGAACTAATGGCACTCAAGGCAACATTAGGAAAGAAAACATCTAGTCGATCTTCAACCACAAGGCTGTGGATTTGTCCTTCTAGGCCATTTAACCACACAAGCTTCCTTGACAGATATAAAAATAAAGAGGTAGTGATGGCGCAGTTGTAACTTGCCTGGGTGAGAAATGAAAGGTACAGAACCAAAGGGATCTTCTGGAGGATTGCTCTGTGGAGCAGAATATGGCTCCACATTCTTATCTGAGGATGCTCTCCTGTCCACGAGCCTATCTGTAAAAATAAATGGAACAGAACAAAAAATAAAATAAAATAAAAATGGCAGGTCTTATGCCAATTTTTAGATATTTAATATTTCTGAAAAAACTCCTCTTTGAATCCTGGCTACTACCCCATTTTGAAAGAGCCTCACCATATAAATATGGTACCCTCAGCCAACTCAAAATAGCATGTGGTTGTTAATAAAAAAAAACCCAACAAAAATATAGCTATTCTACGTACTCCAAGCAGCACGTGTACCTTGCGATAGGCACTCATTCTTTTCTGTTTGGATTTTTGTATCAAGTCTATCACAATGATTTCTAAACACACTAAAGTTATCCACCAGCATTTATTTTTTGTGATCAAAATAAACAGTTTCTTTAAAACATGGTAAGCTAAGGTAAACATATTCAACTAGAACCAGGAAAGCAATAAAATTCATAATCCCACCAACATCCCTTTACATTACAGTACTGTACAGTGATTGCAACAGCCATTTTTAAGCCACATAAAAACAAACAAGTTTAGGTTTATATTGAATGCAGTTTATTCCCTAGTATTCTAGACTGCACAGAGCAAGTTAAACATTGTATTCAATAATACGGAAAAAAAACAGTGAAACAAGAAACAGGGAATACCAATTTGTAATGGTTACTTATGTTCCAGGGGTTGAGACTGGGAAGTAATCCAAATAATTGGAATTCTGTCAGCAGATTTAGGCTAGACTAAACATTGTGCACGATGCTCAAGAGTCCTGGAATCACTTTAAAGTAACTACTCCAGTAGGTGTCATCACACTACTCTTAAAAGCTGAGCCTTCTGCAAGTATAAAAAGCCTCTATTCTCAGTTGCCCAACTTCCCCTTTCTACATGACTAAAACCTAATACCCCTAAAGGAAAAGGGCAGGTGCACAAGAACCTGTTTAAAAGAACTCAGATTAGTAGCTTTTTGGTTTGGTTTGGTTTGGTTTGGTTTGGTTTTGGGGGGTTTTTTTTGGGGAGGGCCTCCCCCTTGAACTGACTTTGTGACTTTCCAGTGCAGATTAACCAGTAGTTGTGATACACAAAATAAGCACTGAATTGGTCAGATTGTGTGATTTCAAAAAATTATGTCACATGGCTTCATAATCCTGAGAATGGTGCCAACCGAAATATAGCAACCTCTAGTTAAAAGCCTTAAAATGTGAAGCTGAATAAAACCAAGACAAAAACGTGGCTAGAAGCTTGGGATATTTATATTCTCCTCCTGACAAATTTCCATGCATCAGACTTGCATATCTGAGTAGCATAGCTGTGCTGATAGTAGGTTCATCTCTTACAGCAGTAGTCAGAATCTTCCATGTGGATTTCTGTTGTTTGGAAAAAAGACAGGATGGGCAACAGCGCTGACCGTCAGACAAGACGACAAGGGAGGTAACTGAAGCATAACACACACACTCTGCTTAAGGTCTATTGTACTTGATCACCTAACCACAAGATCTGGCAAAACACCACCTGAAATGGGAACCTAACTTGTATGTGTGCCCATTTATCAGACTGTATGAAAAGTCTCACTAGCTCTTCATTATTGCAAATCCCAAGAGTGAGTCACTGAAGTTTTTATGTAAAAACCTTAGTTTAAGTTTTTAAAAGTGGCATTGCACGAAGGCCCAGAAACAGGCACCGTCAAATTAACGCACAATTTATAGTGAAAGGGTAGGTATTCTGTTTTCTCTCACTCCAAATAGCTGCTCACTATTGCACCAGACACACGAGAGCCAGGCTGAGGATTTTGAAGAGTTAAGAGCATTCTTTAGCACACGCTACAATTTTAGCTGGCTTTCATCACCTGTTCAACTCTTAACATTTTGCCTTCTGACCTATGATGAGTAGCCTCAACCACCTATTTCTGCACTGTTCCTGTCTTCACAATTGATCACTAAATACTCTTCACAGGTACAACACCTTATATGATCTATAAACCCCATTCTTGCTTAAAATCCTTCCTAAAAAGTTTCACTTAAACTGAAGACCATTTGGGAATGGCTGCTGCAAAGTATTTTTTTTTTTTTTTTTTTTTTTTTTTTTTTTTTTTTTTTC